AGTGGTTTTTTTGTGCATATGATTCTGTGATTGAGTAAACATTAGCCTGGCCCTCGCCTTCCTACACAGTTCTGCTCAATTCTAGTTTCCCTTCCTCGTACGAAGCAAAGTGAAGGACAAGGGTCTGGTTTTTACCAGGCTAAGTAAACATAAGATCAGAGCAACTTTTTAAAATTCATCTCTCCTATTGTGTTTGTCCAAGCTTTTTAAAGGTAGCACGACCCCTGCTGGTTGCCAAATGACCTGATCACCTGTTCCCCCATGTTTGTCTTGTGTGTCTCTTGAACGGGGTGTTCTTAAATGTAATTTTGTTGTGATCAGTACAATGACAATAAATGCATCATCATCATTATCATTAATCTTGTAGAAAAAAGCAGATAACAGACATGACACAAAACTAAAGTCATTTCAAATGGCAACTTTCTGGCTTTAAGAAACACTAAAAGAAAAACGTGGTGACTTAATGAGTGACAAACACTCTTCATCAATCTGGYTCCAACTTCCTCTGACTGCTGCTGCCAGGTCAGCTTTGCAGGTTGGAGTCTTGTCATGGACCATTTTCTTCAACTTCCACCAAAGATTTTCAATTGGGTTGAGATCCAGACTATTTGCAGGCCATGACATTGACCTTCTGTGTCTTTTTTCAAGGAAGGTTTTCAGAGTTGTTGCTCTATGGCAGGATGCATTAAAATCTTGAAAAATGATTTCATCATCCCCAAACATCTGTTCAATTGGTGGGATAAGAAAAGTGTCCAAAATATCAATGTAAGTTTGTGTATTTATTGAAGATGTAATGACAGTTACCTCCCCAATGCCTTTTCCTGACATGCAGCCCCATAAGATCAATGACTGTGGATATTTGCATGTTCTATACAGGCAGCCATCTATAGAAATCTCATTGATTTCATCAATTTATAAAGTGTATATATATATAAAATTCTGGAAGTGGTCGTTTAACTAGATCTGTTACAAAAGGACAACTGATATTACCAACTTTTAAAAACTGTTACGGCCAGAGGTCATTTTTCTGTTTATACTAAAGCATGGAATGACATTCCTCAAAGCATAAAGTTCATTTCAACACTCCAGCCCTTTAAAAAGACTCGTCTGCCATCTGCTGGACACCTTTTTTGTGATCATATTTAGGTATCCTTTTATGCAAATGCTGCCTTTTTGAAATTTGGTATGCTTGTTTTTGTGCTTATATTGTATAATAATGTGTTGTGATGTTGGATTTCTGAGTGTTTTATGTTCTGCAGAACAGSAACCTGCTGTAAAACAGYAATTATGCTGAGTCAGGCTTGATTTCTATTAATCTTTTCCTGTTTAAATAAATCCATCAATCAGTTGGAACGACACCAATCAACAGTTCCAGCATCATCACCTTGTCCAATGCAGATTCTTGACTCATCACTGAAGATAACTTTCATCCAATCATCCACTGTCCACGATTGCCTCTCCTTAGCCCATTGTAACCTTTTTTTTTTCTYCTGTTTATGTTAATGGTTTTCATTTAGTTTTTCTGTATATAAATCCCATTTCCTTTAGGCGGTTTCTTACAGTTCGGTCACAGAYGTGGACTCCAGTTTCCTCCCATTCATTCCTCATTTGTTTTGTTGTGCRTTTTCTGTTTTGGAGACATTAAGTTTTCTGTCCTGATGCTTTGATGTCTTCCTTGGTCTACCAGTATGTTTGCCTTTAACAACATTCCCATGCTGTTTATATTTGGTCCAGATTTTAGAAACAGTTGACTGTGAACAGCCCACATCTTTTGCAACATTGCGTGATGTTTTACCCTCTTTTAAGAGTTTGATAATCCTCTCCTTTGTTTCAATTGACATCTCAGGTGTTGAAGCCATGATACATGTCAGTCCACTTGGTGCAACAAGCTGTGATCACTCCTTTCTGGATGCAGATTAACAAGCAGATCTAATCTGATGCAGGTGTTAGTTTTGGGAAGTAAAATTTACTGGGTGATTCCATCATTTTTTCCCTCTTCTTGGCTAAAAAAATAACTGTTACTGACTGACACTTTTTTTCTTGATTTCTTGTAGTGTTTCCTAAAGCCCGGAAGTTGTCATTTGAAATGACTTTAGTTTTGTACCATGTCTGTGATCTGCTTTTTTTCTACCAAATTAAATAATTGATCCTCCGAGGCCAGTGATTCCACCATTTTTAATCAGGGATTTTATGAGTGTCTATGTGAAAAGGAACAAATGATGTGTGACGTATCTGATCGTAATACCAGCTGTTTTTTTTGCTCAACTGTCCAGAATAATTATGTGTTAATAAAACTCCAGTGTTATTTGATAAAAAATGCTTCTTTGGTCCAACGAGAGATTTAGATGAGGCATTATCATGAGCAGTAGAGCATCGCTCCTGAATATTACTTGGATGCAGGTTGTAACAAGGTAACATCATGTTATCATGGCCTCAAAAGCTAGCTTCTAACTTGAAAGTTGCTGTTAATAATTAATCTTTTTAGCCTGGAAATTTCCCTTATTTAAAGAAGTCTACAAAGTGTAATTGTCTTACTGCACTGGCAGATTATTTCACTTAATTTGAGAAGATTCAGACTATAACCTAGAATTTATAACATCATTTTAGATTGCAGGTTATTGCAGTGGATCTATAAAATCCTGAGAATTCTAGTTCTTTTTGTGATTGCTGTTGATTAGCTGTGGTAGCCATTTTGCAATGGGTGACTCAAAAAGTTAATTATTTGTAGATGTCCATTCACTGACTACTTTAAGTTGAATTCATCTAGTACAGGGGTCTGCAACCTGCGGCTCTGAGGGCCACATGTGGCTCTTTGAAAATGTGGCCAAACATAACAGTAATATTTTTTGTTTGTTTTTATACCCACAACAGAAATCAATTTGTATGCAAATTTGTGATCGATACTACTACTTCAAAAAGTAAAACGTGTTGATTAGCTCATGCTATCATGTTGTGTACTTAATCCAATTGCTTTCTAAGATCTTTTAAATCGACCAGACTTACCTTTAAAGAATTAAGACTACTTAAATTTTTTTTTGAAAAAATAAATAAATAAAAAATAAAAATAAAAACCTGAAAAGTTCAGTTGTACTAGTTTTTATGAAATTTGGTATAAACTTGGTATTTTTCTTGTTTAAATGAATATAGTACTGTATATCATTTGTCCTGATGTATAAAAATAACAATAAGTAATAAAATTCACAATATACTTTTTAGTTTTATGTCACCTCCACTGGCCGTAAAAGTTCCCAAAAAGGCCTCAAAAAGGCCCACAGACCATCAGTTGATAATTACAGTTGTAGCTTGCTTTGCGGCTCTGGACACATTTTATTAGCGCGTCAAGTAGCTTAAATGGCTCTTTTGATCGTAAAGGTTGCAAAGCCCTGATCTACACAGACAGGTATGGTAAAACCTTATTGTCCGCAGCCTTCTTTCTGTGGCAGGGAGCTATTGTTGCTGTCAGAAAATAAATCTCATTACTCATGCCTGCATATTGACTCGTTTTAATAAGAAAGCTCATGACTGATAACAAAACAAAAGACCAATAAAGATGCATTCACATTCCACATAAGTGGACATCTAACTGAACCAAGAAAAGAAGTTGAAGGTTTTCAGGAAGCTCACCATGTTAAGGAAAAGTGTTGCTGCTTATTTCACTTTACTGGRTTGTGAGGACAAAAAACTCAAGGAGCCCAGTCCAACTCCACATCTACATGTCCAACATGATTAAACCATTGGTGAGTTCACCAATGGTTTAATCATGGTTTAAACTGGTTTAAACTGGTTGACCAATGAAATAAGCCAGGTTTTAACCAATGTTCAGAATTATTACTAATGAGTTTATGAGGTAACTCAACATGGAGAATATAGATCATGTTAGTTTTCCATCGTTTGTCATGGTGAGTCTAATCACATCCCTTCAGGTGGAGATGTGCTGGAGCGGTTTAGTCCTGAGCCATCATCTTCATCATCAGGTGGGCAGGGATTAAAATCTGCTAGCATGGAGGCCATGGCTTCCTCTTCCATCTGCAGAACACACAACTGCTGTTAGACACTGACTTTCTGAAAGGATTAAACAAATCAGCTTTACAGTCTCTGAAAATAACATACAGTACCTTCACTTTTTGTCACTTTACAATCACAAACTTCAAAGTATTTTACTGGAACAGATTAAAGGTTCTCAAACAGCATATCCAAAAGGTTCAAATCTGATTTAAAGATGAGATCAGAGGTTTAAAACAACTAGTGATAAAATATCATTTATAAAATATCAATTACATGTGAAATTAAAATAATTAGGACCCCACCACACCAAAGCAACATTTAGAGCAAAAACAAAAGCTCTGACAAACTCAACATTAAACTGTTGAGCTTTCATACTTTTTATACACATTTATTTTCAGTTTGAAAGAATATTGATTAGGTAGAGTTGATTAATTTTTCTATTAAAAGAACAGTTGTCAAAAGAATATCTGAATCATACCTCAGCTTTGAACATCTTTAAATATTGTGTAAAATGATTTGCAAATCA